TAAAGGACTCTGGATGAGGTGGGTTGTATGGACGCTGATTGCACCAGTCGGGCATGTGAAGCGGAGCACTGAGGTAGGTGGGAGTGAAATGCGGCGAGGGAGTAAACGGGTGGGTCTGGTTGGGTGGTGGTTTGCCGAAGTTGGGTGAAGCGGGTGCAGAGGTGGGCGGGATGTCGCGTCGGTGCTGATGTGCAATTCGGTCTTGAAGCATCAAGGCGACTTGTCGCCGAAGCGTTGAATTTCTCGGACCACGTTCATGCTGGACGGCTAAAAGCAAAATAACGCCCTCATTGTGTGACCGCCCAAATAACCACTAATGCTGAAAACAAACAAATCTGTCATTTGCCAAAGTGGGAAATTGTGGACTCGTATCCCAAGCAGATACGTTCGCAACACTTGATTCCCAATGGTAGGGTGATCACCGTGCCTTTAATGTTATTCTAGATTGAAGTTTACTGCGTGTGATGGAGGCGGTGGAAAATCTCCTCCGTGGATAATTGAGTTTCCCCTCAGTTGGTTCGTATTGTACTTCTGTTTGAGTCGTCAAAGTGATGACGAACGTGAATTCGGCTTATGACAGCACACCTTTAAATGAAACCCGAGTTCTTTTTGTAAAGGTAAATTGTAGTTAGTTGGCGCCTTAACAAGAAAAGCTCACATGGCTTCTTATACATTGCGATACCACTATGCATTTATTTTATACTGACCTCGAACTGATCTCTGTAGCTTAGAAGAGCCCAAAGTCTAACTTCAGGAAGCCTGAAATTATCGGATCTTACGACGCCTCTGTGTGCAAACCACCGTGGCCCCAATCCATTTGTGCCCTCTTAATTACCTCAAAGTGATTGCTGACTGAAGACTTACTGATAAGAAGACTTTTTCACTGATTTTATGGCTTTTAGAGGCATTTTATGGCACATCCCTCCTTTTGCTTGTCTAGTTGTCAGGTCTGGTAATATTTAGGAGTGACGTTAGGTCACACGAATTTTATGTTTTTTTTCCTGTTTTTTAGGATGTCGTCAGTGCGAAGCAGCGCCCATTTCAACGTTTGTCAATCTGTCTTTTGGACTTAGATTTGTCGCTCTCGAATCACAGCTATTTGAGCTCGCAGTGGTTAGTGCTAAATTAGCAGAGTCGGATTAAACGCCGAATATTGACAACAAATCTGAACTTTGCCACATGAGATAGGCTCTAAATATGTTAGTAGTGTCAGTGACCAAAATGTATGAAATCTCTTTTTCCGATATCCAATTACTGTTACAGCAGCAGGTCCCACGACATTTATGAGTGCACGCAGCTTGTGGCTTAGCGAGCTTTTACGAACAGGACTATCTGACAACGCAGAGGTGGTAAATGTGAGCACAGTGCTTGTGAAACGTAAGTCACGAGGACTAGGGCAGTCTGCTCAAATTCCAAGCTTACCTTTCTAATTGTGCAAATAACCATCTAGTCACTTGGAGTTCTTCCATTTGTGGATAAACTGTCATTATTGCACTAAACAGCTGGTCATCCACAAAGCCTGTAGATTCGCGTAACCAGGGAAACATGGATGGGAAGAAGTGGATTATTCTTTTAGGCAATGCATTTAGTATGGATGTACTACTCCAAGTACTTGGTTTTACAAACAATCTTCAGCTTTGTTATAAATCCATTACCAGAGGGAATAACATAACATGTCAGACAAGACCGACAATGAATTCGGTTGTCAAATCATTGTGGAAGGGGGACTTGCGGTCAGATTTATCGCCTAAATCCGAACTGCACGTTAAGCGCATTGGAAGGCACATCAAAATGGACAGTCTTATGGTGGCAAAAAAGTGAGTAACTGTGGTGTATGGATATCTGTCGCTCTCCCCCTCTCTCGTGTTAGGCCATCATTTACTACCTTAACTAAGTGCTCCTCTTCCAAAGGCTTCAACAGTCCTTATCACACGAGATGCTCTGTAGCGACTGGTATGGGAAAGCAGTTGGTTAATCGAGGCATGTCGAATTATGAACTTTCGCCAGCCAAGTCCTTTAATGAGCTATGCAAAGTAATACTTTCGTGTGGGCGTTTGAAATTCAGCCATTTCGTTATAATCTCACTAGACATCGCGACGCACTCTCCCCATATATCGTCCTGCTACCTTTCCACTCTTGGCTCGTAGCTACTTTCCCAAATGATGATAAGTGTTGGAAACTATCACGAGTCATCCCGGAAGTTTATCCAAGCAACCAAAGGAATAAAGGCAAAAGAAGCAGACCAACGTGGAATATATCTGCCTCTGTATATTTATTGACTTCTTGAAGCCCATTTTCTCAAACGTGTTCCCGCAAACACCAGATGGCATGATAAGCACCTGCGATCACTAAGGCAACCAACTAATAAACAACGCATAACCCCGCTTAGCCTCACAAGACTTTAATTTAAATTCACCCAAATCTGTTACTGAGCGGAGGCACGTGTCTGCATGGGTAGAACTCATTAGCATGAGTGGAGCCAAAGTCTTCCTCTTTGCCCTCAGGTCAAGCATCCTCACCCCCCGCCTCGGCTTTGCTTGCAGTCGCGTTCCCCACTCTCGACTCGCGTCCCCCCTTCCCCATCCCACTCCCCGCCGTGGTCATCCCCACCTGGCTACACAATGGAAACGTGATTTTTAATCAACGCGCCATCAATAGGCGACCGACTCGGCAACCTGACTAATCTGCGGAACGCGTACGGAAGCTAATTAAGGCTTTTTCGAGGCCGTGGAAACTTGAGGCGAAAAAATTGTAAAATAGCGTAGATTTTATGCGATGGAAATAAACTAGCATTTTCGGAATGTGCTACAGTCTGCCTACAGCGTACCCTGTCAAGTATACTGAATTCCGAAGGACTGAATCCGCTCCTTGATTGGGATAAGAAGTGACTCTCGGAAACTGCAGTAAGAAACCTCCACTTCCAAGGAGCGATTGACATGTTTAGTGCCTCAGTTTAGTGCACGGACGCGACCAAAACCTCGCCAAACTGAGCCAAAACTCAGCACTTCATTCGGCCTTGTTCCAACAGCTGACAGTGATTGCGTGAGAATGACACATACGGCAAATACAGACTTGGTCTTCAAGTCGCACCGCCTAGTCGTCAGATTGAATCCTCTTGTTTAAACCTATGCAGTGAATACTAAAATTAATGAGTGGAATAGGGTTTTCAAGGAATAGGACTTTTCTGATTTCACTCATGAACTCACTTCCATTTTTTTTAGAAACGCGGAAGTGAAGGTAGTTAACAAACACTGTTTTATCTTTACTCCTAAAAGCAACACCCATACCCCACAGTGTGAATTTTGTGCATCTGCAAATATGCCATTTATCTAACAGTTTGGATAAATCATGTAATTTCCGCATATGATAAAAATGCGAGGTATCGGCCATTATCGGCGCTAGTCATCTCCATGCAATGGCAAGATAAGGATCCGTGTCGCTGAAATCATTTACCTCAGTATTAGTTCCAACCAGCGGTCATCCTAAATATGTTGGCGGTTCATAACTCTTTCGTGAGTGTTACACGCCAACATTTATCGTAAATGGTGCGTTTGGAATTGAAAATCCATCGCTTAAAGCAAGAAGGAAGCAGAAGTCGTTTTGCACATTGTGACCGCGTCAGGAGGCTATTTCACCAATGTTTTACGGCAACCTGTGCATGCCTTTTGCAGTGACTTAAATTCGTCATTTATTTTGCCATGTCTGCATCTTTCAAATACACGCTCACTTTAATGCATTTTCGTGGAAAACTAAACAAGCAGTATTTCGTAACGAAACTCAACAACTACGAACACACACAAACGCATTTGTCGAACTGGTCGTCCACTGTCACCAGGGCATACCACTTCATGTTTCTTTCGAGCATTTTAGGGGTCTGACCAAGGTTTGGACCAACCTCTTGAAGAGGCTCCAGTTTTTCAGGGGCATAAATTACCTGATTTCGTGTGCGGAAATTAAGCCTGTTTATAACGAGGACAGTTCAAAATGGGTCGATCTCTTTTGCACATGCTTCCACCGTATTGTGCAATGCCTTCCACTTTATCTGTTTTTACTCACACACAAACTAACAGATTAAATGTGAACTAAATTGACTGGTAAACAATTCACAGACTTCGAATTGAAAAATTCGCAAAACTGGTGGTCTGTTGAGGTTAAATCAACCCCTCCTGCCTACACTTGAGACCAGATGTAGCAGCATAAAGTGAACTCGATGTAGGTTTCAAGGACAAGCATTTGGCCTGTTAGGGCAAGAAGAAGTGCTTGCGAGTTCAATCGCGTCAGACAGGATAAACCTCACAAACCCTGTTCCTTTGTTCCCACCACGGCAACAAAGACAAAGAATGGCGTGAGAAAAACCGGCCCCTCTGGGCAATTAAAGCTTTGATTTCCAGTGTGAGAGCGTTAGTAAAGGCAGTTGATTGACTGGAAATGCACGATGGCCTGTGGCATGGAGCGAGGAGACGACATGTCAGGCTGGTGGCCCCGCCGTGGGAATTTGGCACCACGCGGCCGGGCGATGATAACAACAACAAAAAACGGTTTCACTGTGGGAAAAATTGCTGTGGAGAAAAGATTGCGCCATGAACCATATAGTATGCACTATGTTAGGTGACTCGAAGTTCACAAAATCGTTTTCACGACACACAATATAAATGAGGTACAGGAGGACGAAAAAGAGTAATTAGCTAGGTTGTCGAAGCCTAGACCTACTGGGATCTTGCTTACTGGATCTCTCCAAAGTAACTAATTTATTTTGCGTTTATAAAATTAAAAAATCGGGGTGGTGCGGGCGTCCAGACTTTTGGACCGTGTCGTAATGCAGGTTTAGCTGGCAGTCGAAAACGAGACTAACAACCGCAGCATGTGCGCGCGTGCGACGTGTGTGAGAGGCGGACGCTGGCACGTCCGCACGCACGCACGACCGTGTGTGTGTGTGGGGTCCCCGGGGCAACGCGTGCGCGTGTGGCGGGGTGTTGTGTGTGTGGTCTTTTTCTCAATTAGCCGGTGCGACTGCGAAACGGCCCCACGCTGCGTGTCTCACCCCCCTCCCAGCCTCCCCCCACATTTCCACCTCGTCCTCACACCTGTTAACTCCGGCGCCTTGGCCAGCCCAACTTCTGCCTCTCCACAGGTGCCGCAGTTGTCTGTGCCAGCGGCTCGCGAAACCTCGCGATGTTCTTTCTTTCGTGACGCCTTTGCTACCGCCCAAATCGATAAGATTGATGAAAAAACACACCATGCGTCACTTCTACCCGGAAAGAGTTCACCTCTGTATCGTTCATCAGCAGGTCCGGATTTTATTTAGCGCGTAAGTTGAAATAGAACGCCGCAAAGACATCAATTCAGCATAGGCTTCAGTAGTAAGCTTTAAGTTGAGACGTAAGCCGTGCGAACACCAGATCAAAGTTTTTCTTGTGGATTTACAACAAAACACGAAAACTTCGAATGTTCTTGCAGATGGAGGTGATGTGTATTGTCACGCTTGGAGCACGGTGTTGTAGTGGCTAATTTTTTAACCAAACTTAACTAATGATGGCCATATACGTATCTTTTAGTTTCGTTCTTTTCACTAACCAAGAAGAACGTGTCTGCTGAACGTAAAAATAGTTGTGCATGAGTTAGTTGACCTCTGGAAAGCACTGATTCCAGCTGCGGCCTCAGCATGGCGTCGCTAGTTTGAGTAGCACCAAAGTTGCGACGTGGGAAAAAGCGGCGATCCGCTTTCCTCAAACCAAAGATTTGCATGCAAGTCGTTTTGCGAAATGAGCGAACTCACAAGCAACCTATTTCACACACACTACACTCTGTAACGGCGACGAAACATGTGTAGGTTCGTGTGCGTTATGCCATGCCGTCCAAAAGCGCTGATGAGGTGGACTTTCATTGAACCAACATCCAGGGCCTCGTCACTTCGTTAGCAAGCCAAAAACACCAACATGAAAGTCTTTTTCTCCACATTGTCATTATGGATTCATTTAAATTCCCGTATCACTCAAATTATTACCCCCGCATCGCGTTTAGTGCACATCACAAGGCCTTAAGATCGCATTCTCACTTTAGGCCTTGTGAGCATATCCCGATGATCTCACGTAGTGCACAAATTGAGTAAAAATAATTTCCGGGATTTTCTGTTATCCACACTTGTAACCTAGGTTACCATGCAACGGATGCAAAGGCATGACTCAAACCGAATAGTTTCCATCTGCTTTATAACCTATCTCGGTCGTTCAACCTCAAAAATCGAATCAGGTGTCCAAATAAGTACTTTCAAATTTGGTGGGATATCACGATTGCAAACCTATGATCAAACGAGAGTTAATCAGCTGCTGCCAGTAATTTGAATGATAAAAATGCATAAAGACGATAGGTTCACTTACAGTCGCGATTCATTCCCGCCTCCAGGCACTTCTTCAGTCGACAAGCTCGACACTGGTTCCTGTGGGGTTTGTCAACACGACACCCAGATTCCGAGCCATTTCGCGATTTGCAGGTGTACTGCCGATTCCGTCGAATCGATCTCTTTAGGGGAAGCAGAAATTATTTCCTTCAGACCTTCGTTTTGTGTTACGTGGGGTGATAAATAAAATAGTGGCCAAAGCGTCGTTCGGCCAGCTAGACAGTGCTTACCTTGAAGAACCCGGCGCAGCTGGTGGGGGCGAGCAGTTGAAGAGAGGTGCAAGCGAAAAATAGAGAACTCGGTAAGCAGGCTAGCATTTACTTAACCGTGGCCTTATGAAAGTGAACATCGAAGTAAAAGCAATCACTCGAGAGGAATGCTGCCTCGAATGTTAAATCACGACAAGTTGCCTAGGCGTTTCGCAGTAACACCCCCTCTTACTGACAAGCAGGTTTTTCGTTCAAAAAACTGAATCGTGAGCCCCTCCCCGCACCGTAAACCATCATGCTCTCAAGTGACTGCAACGCCTATAACTTAAAAGGCAATATTTTGCATAATATTTGTTTAAAGGTCCAATATTCAAAAAAATACTGCCTGTCACATGGGCATTAAATGCAGAACGTCTCCGGTTATTAGAATATCCCCAATTATTTGAAACAATTGTGCACCATGTTTGAAAGAATCGAGGTTAGTTGTTAATTATCTCCTAACGAGTTGATAGTATCACTTAGCAACAGCATTACAAGCCAGTTTTTAAAAACTTACCCATCACAGGCGTAGATTCCGTAATGTTTTCCGGACGAGTGGTCCTTACAGACCTTACACGGGATATCGTACAGAATCCGTCCTATCAATTTATTAAAGGAGACAGAATTATCATTAATAAAATTTGCTACCTCTGAACCCATGTTAACATTTTTTAGTGACCCCTGTACTTTTGCAAAACAGAGCGGGTAACAATAAATGAAGGTGTTGGTATCTTTTCCTGAAGCTCTCATTATCAGAGACACCAACCTTAAAATAATCTGGGAAAGTGCTGTCGCCGTTGTCAATTGTCTAATGCCGCTCTCAAGCCAGGGCAACAAAAATCAAGCGCGAAATCTATGCATGACTGCAATTATACTCCAAATAATACAATAGTGTGTAGCAAATAGCATTTGTCAGCATTACTTACCCATTGCAAATGGGGGATTCGGCGGTGCCTGATAATCACTTACGGAAGGAGCAGAAATCGATGGGTTCAAGTCGGCAAACATTCGGACAGGGAGGATTGCGCCTGCTGTAGATGAAGCTAACCGCGTTGATATACCTTTTCCAGATTTTTGCGACGATTGTTACAGTTAAGTGTCAGTTATTTGCGTCACATAACCATTGGTCAGCGGGCAAAAGCCATGGAAGCTCACTCCAGGGGGTGGGAGACTGCGCATTCTGGTAAGCCAATCATCTATCAAAACAGGATGACTGTAGCGCGCGCTTCACGACCATTGGATTAGTAGCTGGTGCGTGCGCATTCAGGATTGTGCCAGGTTTGTGTAATTTGTTTTTTTTTCCAATTCTTTTATTAAACAGATGTCTTGGTAATTTTAACACCACAACAATTTCACCTATTTTCCATGTCACCAATTCGGCAAAAAAATAAATACCGCAAATGATTTTAACGCAAAATGCTACCACATACTGGAGCTCAGCCAAGTGGCGGAATTAAGAAAATTTCAAACATGGCCACCAAATCAGCGAGAAATTAAGGAGTAACCCGACAAACACATTAGAGGTTCAATTTAATCTATATACACACGACTTTTTCGATGACCGTTTTTTCGAAAGAGTTACAATCCTTGCTTTGGTTATGCGAATGTTTCATGTTGAATAAGGAATTTATCGCTTTTTGGCTCTAGCTTTGCTTGCGGATTATTGAAGTACTGAGCAGTGGCTAAGTCAGTAGTTGGTGCTACTTGAGTTTGGCATTGCCGGCTTTCATGAAGTACAGCAGGAATTCCGGAGTTCATTTACTGCGATGATTAAAGGCTTTCGGAACACAATGCACTCAAGTACCTTCAAGGAACCTGCAGGCCCAGGTAAGACACTTAAATTGATTTCGTTTGCTACATAGCTTATTTCAGCAGCTCTGGTGGTGCCTGCCTTTATTTTAATACCTCAACACGGTCTTACGGCTTAGCTCGAGGGGACTTGTGTGAGCCTGTGGGACCAGTGTCACCCAAAGACGTTACGATGCGCTAATCGGAACACAGACTCACCCAGTCTCTTGTCTGAGTCTGTCAGGAAGTGGTTTGTGTTAAGTTGCCACCTCCTCTGATGGCCTAGTGATCCACCCTCTTGACGACGACGACAACAACTACAACGACCGTGAAAACCCAAACCACTCGTGGGTCTCTGAACACAGTGTGGTCAATAATGATTTACTGACATCGAGGGCTATTAAAGGGGCTCTGGCTGTACTACTGGGTTGCTAAGGTAGGAGTAAGGTAAGTAGACTTTGTCGCCGCGTTGATGAGGCACCAAAATAATTGGCCCTATAAGCTGAAAAAAATATATAGCCCTGGCTGAAATCGACCGGATGCCTGTGGCGTCGTTTTTAGGTCAAAGGTCCAGCGTGCCAGTCTACATGAATGACAATTACGGCAGAGGGGTCGCCAAATTATGTGGTCTTGGTGAATAATCGAAATATACCACCGACTGCTCAAATTATCCGTTAGTAGAGGTTAGCCAAGTAGCACAAGAGACATTTAACTAAGGTTGACAGTTGGACTTTGACATCTGATTAGGCCCAACGTCAACACAATGAAACTACACTGGTTGCTGCGCCGGAAAGTGAGGGTGCGTTTGTCTCCTGAGGCGTCGACCAGAAGTGTAGCTGCATTGCATTGGTGAAATTACTATTTGGTTAGACAAATTTGTTGGCCACTTGTGCGCGTGACGAAAGTCCCTTCCACAAACCCAGGTCTGGGTTGGCTGTGAGTTTTTGCCACCTCCTGACGTGGGTGTCGCGCCCTCTGGATGGTGGCAGAGGCCTCTTCGAAATATTCGAGTTCCGAGTTAATTTGCGGTGACACGTTTGCCATTAAGACATAACCTTACCGATTGACCTTGAAGGTGAAATATAGCGGAAAACGCTACCTTCAACGGCAACTTTTCTAGTGATAGTGTTGACATTGTAAAGTATTTTCACCTTTCGAGTTATGTTGTTAATTGAGCAAAATTAAAGACGATTTTGAATGTGTGCTTTTACTTTTGGAATGCTCGCATTGCGCGAAATGTGCAAACTAGATGCGCCGACGAGGAGGTCAGTACCCTTGTTTAGAAAGCGGAAAGTACTTAATCCGCTCGACATCAACACAACAGCCTTCAAGCTAATCCCATAGGCGTGATTTATTTCCATGGGAAACAGTTGCAACTGTGTTTTCCGCACTCGCTTGAAGAGCCGAGTGATTTTTTTTCAAGGGCGAGCGTGAGGAGAGCGAATTGTACCTGAGAAGACAATAAAACAGTATCCACCAAACCAAGCAACGTTGTCATGTTAGGTAATCTGGAACAAGGCGAATTGGTGAATCAAACGGCACGTTAGTATTTTCAAGAATTTCAAAGCCTTAGGCTGGAGATTGGTGTTTGTCAGTGCTACAGGATGACTGCTTGAGTGCTTCAGAGTAGCGGAGCTCACCAAGGCGCATATCATTGACAGAACAAGGGATGAGCGAGTTACGTTTCTATTGCAGATGCTCGACTCAGGCAACAATGAAGCTGGGGACTCGGCAAAACGCCTTGCTATGTTAATGCCTTTTAACAACAAGGAGTGCAGTAAATTGACTATAGATAAGAGAAGCGACCAAACGAACGACAATCACGGTATTGGGACTCAACTTTACTTAGTACACCCATTGTGAGTAAAGACGATAAGTCAAGAATAGCGTTTTCTGCCCAAATGACGGCTATGTTCTACGTTTACCTTAACCTTTTCATATGCCATGTGTTCCCCGGCCTTGCTACCTGTCAATCACCAGACAAGTCGGATTTTCACCTAGTCACCTGCGTTAATTAAATTGCAACTTCTAGGCAATTTTGTGCTCTACGCAGGCGCCACACAACGCGACGGCCTTCGGCAATTCAAGCAGTCGTTGAGTGTTTTTAAAGCAATCCAGTCTGCTTGAAGCAAATAGCTGTGACGGAAAAAATAAGCAAACGACGTATTCAAGTGGGAGACAGTTAAAATTCTAGTCACTAAAAACATCCGAAAACGGTTTTTACAATTTATTGTCAAAATGGGGACTCCGTTGACTGAAAATCAAATGCTTTATGCATCCATTTTGTTTAATTTCGGCGTTTGGTTTGTCAATTTTTAAAAATGACTTGGATTAATACGAACGGATTTTGTACAGAACGAAGCCTGTGTACCAGCACAACGCTGGTATCAGTGTACCTAGTTTGAAAGACAAGACGCCCTTTTACGACATTTGGTACCTTGGGTAGTGGTAATTGCTTCATTTTGTCTGTTCGCGAAGATAGAACACACATCGACTGAGATTAAGCAGAACCCGGGAATTTCGTTTTTACCATGGAACAAGGTACTATTTTGCGTCTATTGCTTCAAATTTCCGACCCGAATTAGATGAATCTCAATGCACGCTTAAATAGCATTCGCTCACTTTTGGGATTGTTCACCTGCCGCCTAAAAGCTAAATGTTACCTTTGTTGCAACTTCCACAAAAATAGAATCGCAGTAATCCAAGCATACGTATCCTCATTTCATTTTTTCTGGTATCTACCTGGCCAGTAGTAAGCCAATTTGTTAGATGGACCTATTTCTTTTCTGTTTTGTGCGCATCTGCTGAATGTATGTTAAATTCAGTCCATTAAAACACACAGTGTGGTCCAAAATTTTTAAAAATTCGCTTGGCTAAGCAAAAAGCGCGAGCGAGTATCGATGAGAGTAGCGAGTAGCTAAGAGCTAGCTTCGCTGGCTTCGTTAACACTTGATAGCGTTCTGCGTGAGGCTGCCCTCTCGACCACTGGCCCACAGTGTGAGAGCACGAAAATATGACCGAAAAAGGATGAGGGGTGCGCGAAAAAAGAAACCATCCTGTCGTCAAGTTGTACAACTGTATCAAAATTGCGACCTGTTCGGCGTCAAATTACGCCCGCACGCTCTCGTGTAATGTATCGATTTTTAATCAAGCGCTCACGCGAGCACAGCTTGGCTACTTCGCGCAGTGGCGCTGAACAGGTGTCGGTTGTTGTAATTGATCTCTCGCCCCGACCGCGCAGACAACAGGCGGGATATATCTCTTAATGGGAGCACGAGTAATAAGATTCCCCTTCTCACAGAATGCTCAGGAGGTCATTTAATGTGGTAGCGTCCAGCAACTGTGAGAGTTTCGCCTTAGGCAGAAGCCGCCGCAGGACTTGACCATTTGGGGCTCAATCAAGACTTTGCTAATTGCTTTAAATTGGGAGGATCCAAACCAAGTCATAAAATTAAAGCCTAACAAAACAAAACTTAGTTGTCTTGATACCACGATCAGGCATTGTCACACCATTCCATTATTTTCTAAAAAAGAGTAGCAACAGTAATTACGCGAAACCCGCATTTTGTCCTGGATTCTAGAGTCTTCGGAGGGAACTGCATTTGGCGCCTTGTCACCATGACCACTCCACGTCCCCCCCCTTTGCGTCAGATGGTGACTGTTCCTGCAGATAATTTAATTAACTTGGAATCGGGTGCTGTTAGAGTCGCCACCTCCCAAGTGATCGGTTTGTAGAACTTAGCAGAGGTAGCCACTCCTCTTTTTCGGCATAATTAAAAAGCATTTTACAGCACAACTTGGCCTACTCCCGTTTAAATGGTATTGGATTCGCATAAAAAGTCAAATCGTTGCTGAGGTGTAAAACCTCAGTGCATTGTATGACATCTCATTAGGTTAACAAGTTATTTTGCAATATTTATAGTTCCAATGAGAGCATTTGCAGAAATCCAAATAAGTGATTTGTTTTTAACTAAATGAAATCTGAAGAGGATAATCTAGAAGAAATAAGCGTTCAAATAGTCTGTGATCTAAGGGAAATTTGAGGCATCAATTTGTGCCTGATTATCGTGGATGAGGGAGACAACAAAAGCTGAAACGGAAGTGGGTCAAATACACTGGACGAAGTCAAGCACTTAACTGAGACAATTTCTGATGCTAAAGCCATCTAAATTGGCCACATTTGCAGGCGAGGATTCGAATTCGCCACCCTCTTTATCCAAGCCATGATTCAAGGAGAAATTGATCTTGCCAGACCGAATCATAAGCACGACACAACTCAAATTTTTGAGCGTGTTTGTGATTTAAGCTGGTTGTGGGCACACCATACATAAACGAAAATGACATCGAATCGCTACTTCAGTTATTACACTTTGATTTGTCAACCCGAGTTCCGGTTTTACCCCGAAAATTTCAGCGGTCTACTGAGGCTCAGGAGCCGGGAGTTGATGCGGGAATGATTTATCCAGTCGCGTCTATCACCTCTACCTACACACATCCTGTCTTCTCGATCCCCTTGCCCCGGACATCCGCACTCTCCTCCAGACGTCTGAGATGTGTCCCCCCGGGGGTCTCAGAAATCATTTGCCTCGATGTGGGATCCAGTCCAACGTCAGAGGTCTTAACGACATTAGTGATTCGATTGTGACGTAGAAGCACCTTAGATCGGGGCTAGTTAACTGTAAGAACTATTTTAAAAAGGGGGTTAGTGGTGGAACCAACTTGTCTGGTGCCGTTCACTCACAGACGAGGTAACATTGTTTCAGGAATTAGAGACCCCGACAAACGGAGAAATTCCGTTATTACAAAAGACTGATATAAACAAACACAAGGATGAGCTCCAGCCGATAAAATTGTTTACTTAAATGCACAATGGATATTTCTGAGTGGGTCACAGTGCAGTAGCACAATGATCCCTCGCAAACTGACGCGCCATTCCATTCATGATCAGTCTCAATTTTTATTGAAGCTACTTGGGGCTAGATTTTGGTCTACCTAATTAAAAATATGTGATTTTACAACCCTCAAAGTAAATCAAAGGAAGAAACAGTTGCACGCTATTGCATATTCAGCAGAACATTTGCAAATATTTGGTGAAAATAGTTGCTTTGCCAACAATTTAAACACAGGTCCATGTGAATTTGACCTGATACAGCACTCGTACTAACTTTGAATCCACAGACTTGCGGTCCTAAAAATAATAAACTGTCGCATTTGGTGTATTATGGCAGCACACTGTCGGATGTATGCCAAATTCACATAAGACCAGTATCTGTATGTCGAAAATTTGAGGTCCTAAAATGATGGGTAAATAGGATTGATACTAATTCATCGATTCGATAAGAGTCAAAATAAACTAAGTCCTAAAACTCGTCCTGCACCGGAGGTTATTTCGGCATTCTTTGAGTTACTTTTTAATTTATATGACTGTTATAAAATGATTGTCTCAGGTGTTTGACTTTTGGTGATTCGGACAACTTGGGGCGCTTAGTAGGATAGAGTTTGGACGCATAGCAGACATAACGGCAAAAATATGGTTAAGCAAGAGAAACGACTTTGCCCATAGAAAAAGTCATGCAAATGCGAGACGAATTTACACTCCCGTAGACATCAGACGCCCTCCTTCAAATGTGATCAAAACCTTTGTGTTATCACACATCTATAGCTTGGTCTTTCCCACAGTTTACTAAGGGTCACGTACAAAAAGAAATACATCAATTGGATTCATGTAAGCATGCATCAGGCGAGATTAAGCTTCTTTTGGTTTTCAACATTGACGGATTCGTCAGTCTTTTAACATCAGATTTTGTCGGTGTGGGCAGAAGCATAGAAACAATGCTCTTATTTATAAACCGAAGCGCGCAAATCGTTAAAAGTGCTTCAAGGTGTTCCAACAGTGGGCAGATTGTAGGCATTTGGAATTAAGGGTATGCTGAGTCATCTCAACTGCATGGATCTCAATGTTGTCAAAAGTCGTTTTCGCATTTCTAAAATAAATTTATTGAAGTCAAAAGGTGAAAATTTTTGGAAGTAAAAAAAAATAATTCTATTAACTACGCCATTGCACAAACAAATAAAGTTCCTTGTTACTACAAATTTAATGTCTTCTATTTGAATTGGACATAAGGAAATTATGGCCAAACATGGTATCCCATAGATTCGTAAAAGTACGTTTCAAATTAACGACACAAATAAGAAAATAGTACAAGGACACGGGGAGATTAATAGTGTACATTACTTCTCACTCGTGCTAACTATACTGAAACAATTTTCTTTTCAACAACGCTGCCCTTATTTGTTTGCTTTGCATTGTCGGCTCCTGAGCTGGTGGCGCTAGGGAGACATGTATGATTAGCACGTGTGTTTACCATTTCTATTACGTGTTGCAAGCCATATAGGGTGCAGTAATAAAAATAATCATAATTCATTTAGTAAAATTCTAGCAAATTTATTTCTAGGCTCTAAGAATTATTTCTTGAAAGTAAACTGAGCACAAAATATTTAATCAAAGTTAGGAGGCCAATAGTTAAATCTGAAATTCAGTCCCATGGGAATTCGGCTGGTAATCCTTCAAAAGGCAGGAGTAATACTTAGCTAGACTTTTTCAGAGCAGCATTCATGTTTCTCATATTTTAAGGACTATAATTTTCTTAATCAAAATTGTCCGAATGGGTGCAGTATTGGGCCTGAATGTTTCGGATCAAAAGTATAAATGCACGTTCTGCGAGCTTTTCTATATAATGTATTTGCATAAGTAACAGAAGCTTTATGACTATAATTCATGTTTGAGACAGCATTAACTTTTTTCGATGTTGTTAGAAGACCTTGTTTTAGCATACTAATGGACGTAGCGGAGATTTGAATAGAGTTCGCTGCAATCTTCCTTTTTTCATGTGGGTCCCAACAATCTTTAAACACGTTAGCTGACAACAGTAGCTTTGTTATTAAAGATGTCATGTATCATTATTTTTTTAGCTGGTACAAACAATTTCAGTGTCAATTCAGGGAATTATTGTAAAGTTTGGTCTTGACAGTTTTGTACCTAGCATGATACACGGTTTCGAGTTTCTTGTGTAGTTAGATTTTTAGTGAAATGAAAAACGAGCCTTGTTGCCGTCACTGTGGCAGATTCAAATAGCTAAACTGATTTTAGGCCCTGATAGACTAGTTTGGATTATGATAAGCGTATGTGGTTTAAAAGTGCCTTTCGTTCTAACATGGGTTTTCCCTATTTCCAGAGCCCTTTCAGAAAAACCATTATGATCTGGCTGTTTATGTAACCAACAGCCTGTAAAACCCATGTTTTATGGTTAGACTTAATGACAAACATGAATTTATATACTTCAATTATATTTTTGGAATGAAGGCAAGTTAAAATTTGGCGGTTAAGTTTTTGGCAGAATTTTTTGTGTCTGCTAACCACCCCATATTTGTAAGACAATCAACGTGGAAAACGTGGCTGCCATGCCATTTCCCCTCGGGACTTGCTGTTGATGGGCGAACTCGAGGCCTACTTGTGGTATAATTGTTGCACGAGCCACCCAACTGGTCTATTCGGGGTATATGTTACCTTGGCTAATTTTTGCCATGTCTCCTGTTTCGTATAATTTGGTCTCCTTGTCATCTTTCTCAATTATGCATTCTGCTTATCTTTGGACTTTAGCACTGATTTCCGATGTCTGAGGAGGATGATTGGGGCATAACCCCGGACTACAAGAATGTAATGACCGAAAAGGAACAGCGCTTCGGTGCGCAGGCTGTTCCCGGACGCGTTGGCCACATTGAGTGAGTTTTGTTTTTTAACTTGTTCTTTTGTCAGCGTCTCTTGCTTTCACACGCTCGCACCTTCATGAGTTCCTACATTTTAGACGCGGTAGTTTTTTTTTAATCCGAAGACATGTCGGCGGATTATTGTTTAAGGCACTTGTAGTTTTTACTTAAATCTACTCACATACCCAACAACCACCACTGCACGATATTAATTAATCGTCTACGATTGTTAACAGTTTCTCTATTTGTAAAGTTCTGCTTACTTTTTATTTGTTAAACTTGCCAGTTGATCACGAAAGCATTGGTGTCTATTGAAATTGGCAAGGCAGTTTAAGACCACGTCCACCAGTAAAAAAACATGGAAATCAGGTAGATCATCTAGCACATTTTGACAATTTGGTTCCTTTACTGTAGGTAGGTTCTGCTATCAAATTACAAATAAATGCGATTCCTACATGTTGACACATACACACCCAATTTTTTAGAAGAAATAAGGCGTGCACAATTTTATTTGGTTTTTCCCGTATTGTACTTAAATCAAATTTGGATACCTTAATGTACCCTAACCATATCGATGTCGTGCAAATAAATCTCGTTCGTTTTTTAATCCACTTCCACCGAAGACCGAGTGCGTCATTTTGGCACAGTTCTTCCAATTTAGTAAAGAACCGAAGATGGACATGCTTGTATTAAGTAGGATGTGTCGGTGATGAGGTATATCGTAGTCTTTTCAGAGTTTGACCCCCAATGTTAAACGCTTGCACCTCTTTCTACACCTAGCATGAACGAGCTGCGCCAGAATGTGATCAAGTCGGACGCGGAGAGTAAGAAGAATGCAGTCCCAAAGGCTTCCTACGGCTACGGTGGAGCCTTTGGTGTGGAAAAAGACCGGATGGACAAGGTGGGTGGCCGTGAACATTGTCCATTGGGATTGTGTCAGGTTATGTAGTAGTTAACTGCTCCTACAGACGTATTGCGCACTAACCCTGCGTCCTCCACCGCGGCTTCTTTGAGCACCTCAAAGTTACTAATCTGTGTAGCGTAGTCTGGGCTTTTGCACAGCTACCTTGTCGCACGGCTTGAAACTATTGAATCCACCTCTGCAAACTTTTATTCACATTTTTTTAAAGCAAGTTAAGCAGGTCACAAACTCACATCGTAGTCTGAGAGGGAAAGTAACGCGAAGCGGCTTTTTCTTCGTAAACCTGTTTCAAAAGAACACATCAAGTAGAGTTGGATTTGGGCCGTTGATGGAAGGGTAGCCGTAGTAAGTAAATGTGGTAAACGATACTAAACCACGTTCATCTTTTAAAATGAGTTTAAATAATATTGAAGCGAAAAAGATCTGCAATGTTTGTCCGTGGACGGGATTCTGCTGCCCGCCTTGGACTCACATGCGTACCGAATCGCAGAAATCTTCATTGTTGGAAATCACACCAATTTTGACCTAAAAACTACAACAAATTTGAGAAGAATGTCATTTTTACCGGTAGACGCTGAAAATATTTACCATTTTCTTTGCTAAAATAAATTTGGCCTTGTGTTAGTCAAGTATGCAGATCGTAGTAAACCATTAGCACGACAAAGCACCGGTGTTTGGCTAGCCGTGACCGCCTGTGACTGTTCCGTTTAACACTAAATGACGCACACCAGCTGCTAGCGTCGCCTGATGCACAGTTTAATTGGTCTTTAATTAGCCAAAGCCTCGGCCCGTTGTTGTATTAACGTCGAACCACTGTGTAATTCCTGGTCATTTTATACCTTCCAAATCTCACTGGGCTCATCAGTTTTCTTGTGCACGATGTTGTAGGAGCCAATTCTAAACATGGCAGGTGGGCCACCGGTGTTTTGTCTTTTTTTCTGTTAATTTAAGTAGGTCTGCCTCTCGCGCTGCTCGCACAATCCAATCCGACGCGCTGCTGCGTTCGTTATGCTCTCAGTTGCACATTTTTAAAAACTCCAAAGCGCGAGGCATCATCGGCGGCTGCGTCGGTGTGCACGTCGGGTATCACGAGGGCTAACTCATGGGCGTAAACATCACTTGATGTGTTTGAGTGCTGGAGTTTGTACTACAATTGGCCCTAAAAGTCGCATCGATTTGTGTATGCGTGTGCTTGCACTAGTAGTGTGAACGCTAGCTAACGTTTTACTTAAGTCACTTAGATTACCTCCTGTTAGAAACACCTAAGATCAAAATTTTAATAGTCGATGCTTCCTGCTGCTTTCTAAGGACAGTTCGGATCCCCGAGTTGTAGCTGATTATAGCAGACGATAAAAGATACTTTGTTTTCTATGTTGATGTTAGCAACACCACTTTAACACATTAATATGGTTGTTTTAATCTCAAGCAATAGCTGGCTGATGGGCTCAACCAGGCGCAACGGTTGCGGTGCAGGCAATTTGGGAAAAAATTAGCAGATAGTCTGCATTAATGCCGCAGTTCTCTCAATCGATGAAGGGAGTGGCGTTGCCTGCTCTTGTCGAATCCTGGTAACACGGAGGCGACCGACGCTCTTGGGTTAGGGGCATGTCATCGTTAGCCAGTTGTAAAAGGGTGCTTGTCGTAGAAACTATCGCGGCCACTTGTGCATTCGTAGACCGGATAAAAGTCAAGGATTCGCCAGTGTCTTCGACAGCCATCTATCCATTCCAAGTTACCTAGAGGAGACTCTTGAGTTGACTATCTGGATTTCGTCGTTCAAATCGCCTTATGCACACGCCTTACACACCGTTGCGTGGTGTTGGTGGAATTATTTGGTTCCAGTCACGCAAACAACTATTCCAGTTTAACTGTTTCAGTTGCATTTGCTATTCTTTTTTAGTAATTAATGGTTGTCCTTCCTCTTCCTAGTTAAACACACTGGATACTTGCAGCGCAACTCTTCAATGATGGCTAAATTTACTGTATTCTTTTAGAGTGCGGTCGGTGCAGACTACCACTCGGAGGTGGCCAAGCATTCATCGCAGCAGGACTACGCCAAAGGCTTCGGTGGGCGATACGGCGTCCAGTCGGACAGACAGGACAAAGTAAGCTCAAACCCGCGCCCCAAGTCAGACTAGGCCGTGGTTGGTGGTTATTTTTTTTCATGCTTTTTTTAGGCAGTAAACCGTGCTAACTATTAAAAACGCTGAAATTCATTAAGCAAGATAGTCTGCGCCTAATCACTAGAACACGATCCACTCTGATGTGTAGCGCAATTGGAAAAGGTTCCAATCATGCTTCACTAGACTTGTTCAGTGTGCCTCCCAGAAGCTATCGTGTCTCTCATAGTCGTTAAATTTGTCACAATTAATGTTACTCTTTCTGGCACATGTTGCACCTCACCTGGTGATTGATTTGCTGGCGTAAGTACCCTCCTCTCTCCCTCTTTCTATTTCGTAAGTGGGGTTTTCTTAATAAGGCATCCCTCGTCTACCCGCTGAAATGAGCTGCTTTGGCACTGCTAATTATGTGCGCGTGTCGTAAAGCACTCGGGAATGCGATTCCGTCACTTACGTGGCCTGTTGAGTTCAGTGCGATGAAGCCCGTTTGCACCATGAAAAGCCAAAATGCCACACACATGTCCCGGCAGGCAGGCAGGCTATCAATTCGTCCCACTCCTTTGATGCTGTAACGCTGTTTGCGCTAGCAAAAGCCTAATAGAAGTTAGCACAAGCCTCTTCCCGTGCAACGCTTTCCGCAGCCTAGTGAGAAAGCAATGACGACGTGAGGCATTACTAGGGCTCGAAGAAAGAAAGTGTGCATTCAAGTGCTGTATATTTTGCTCGTAGGCGGTTTTCAACTAATTTGATCCACATATTTCTTGAAGCCTCATAGAAATTTAATTCAATCACTGAATTTTTGCTTCTTTCATTGCCTGCGTATGAGAAAATACTCTCTTATGTCTCATTGCAATTGAGGAAATTGCTTGTGTCTTTTCCCCAAAAGCGTTAAAGCTTGTATTTCTCGTTATTGCATGACACACAAATCACCGATTAATCCAATCTAAACTCCAGGGGTAGCCGTTTCCCGATGTTTGCCACTCATTACCTTCATGCTTCGCTTTTTTGTGGTGCCCCGTCTACGAGGTCAAGTCGGCAGTACCTCGTTAAACCACTTCACACACTGCAAGAAGATTAACGGTGTGGAAGTGAAGTTTCCCCAATGTGAATCAAATGCGTAAATCTTTTATTGTTCAGAATGCTGTTGGCTATGGCCACCACGAAGAAGTGGCAAAACACGCTTCCCAAACAGACTATGCCATTGGTTTTGGAGGCAAGTACGGTGTGCAAAAGGATCGTGTCGATTCCTCCTCCTTTGGCTACAATAAACAGGAGGAAACTAACAGTCAGCCAGAGTCAGGAAAGCGTGAGTTTACCCACTACTGATATGTGCTGTTTTTAACGTTACGACTGCCTCGAATTTGTATGCCCATCTCCATCGTGTTGTCTTTTCTCAGACACCTGAATTTATCCGTAGACAGCAAATCGTAGCCGTTGGCATGGCTTTGGAGTCGTGGCTGAAATCCTAAGAGTCCGTTTTCATTGGTCAATTGCGCGCACCAATTGTGCGCACATTTTCTGTCGCTATTACACTTGCAACGAGTTTATCACAATTGTGTGATAGCCGATTCCCCTCTTTCGTAGTCGTCAACGTTGCACACAGCAATTTAGGCTGACTTCGTTTGGCTTCCAGTGTCGTAGCTCCTCAAACCTGGTCGGCATTCCAGGACGTGTGGATTACTGACTAAGGTCATGTTTCCTCATGCTTACTCTGCATCCAGTCACTTGCTGACTGCAAACACTTACTAGATTGCATGGATGCTGCTCACTTTCGAGGTGCTAGTCGAAAGCCACACCTGCACTTTCACCTTCCTATCCGCATCTAGCGGGTATAACCTTCGCCACTTCAGCACTCATAGTAAAGTGTCGTGTGGCATTAGAAATTGGGGATGCCGAACATTAAGCGTTAAGATCAATGTTAATTAATTTTGAAAGTTCAACTTGTCTCAACCTAGTTTTGGTGGTGAGTTTCTGACACCCATTTATTCCACCCGCTCCATTCTCTTAGTATTTATTTTATTCAACGTGACACGCGGTTCTACGGTGAGACCACGTCCGTCTTTTTAACTAATATTATAAACTGATGTGACGAGTGTTTGGTATGAGCAGGTCACTTGTTTCGGCATCCGCCTCTCTTCGCTTCAGGCACGGACTTTGTCAGCGGCGAGCATCGAGCTAGCGAATTGCGTGCGCGTTTTGAGAAACTGGCGCTGGATCAGAACAAGCCCGTGGAGCGGCCGCCCAGACCCTCGGTCGGCAAACTCAAGCCCAACATATTCCCACAGTCCGCACCGTCGACTGCCGAGGTAATCTGCCACTCTGTTGACTCACATGCTTTTTGCCCAGGCAGCTTGAACCCGAGGCCTAAGTTCGATTACCCTGCTGCCACGTTGTTATCACGTCGCGTTCTTAACTGCATAACCCCAGAAGTTAACCACTGCATTCACTTTCCCAGCCCAAACCGGCACCGATGCCTACGAGGACGCCGCCCGCAGCCGCCAAACCAGCAGCCGAGCCTGAGGTGAGCAGCAGTGCAAGTCCATGGTTGGGATAGTCTGTGGCTCTCGTGTTTGCTAGCTCACTCGCTTCCAGTTGGTGTTTTACTGAGCACGTTCTTTGCTTTGCAGCCGTCGAAGTCCGAGCCAGCCACGACCATCGCCAGAGAACCCTCGCCCGAGCCTCTGGTTAGTTCTCTTGCTGTGTCTTGTTTTTCATCGACTCGAAGTTAACCGAGGCCAACTTCTTGCCTTTACATGAGACCGTCGACGCACATCTTTACTACCCAACTCAACGTATTATTTCAAGCTTAACCCTTTCCGCTAATTGCAAAATCACATTGAGATACTGCCGTAATTAACTGTAAAAAGTGCGAAGCGGTTCCAGTGACCACGAAGGCGCTTTTAGTACTCACATTAAAGGCAATTTCTATGTGGTTCTTAATGGCCTCCTTCGGCCTCCTCGCCAGCAATTGGTTGTTTCGTTTCTCGGTGCCGTGTGGCATGACACTTGAATGTGCAAATCGTGTAGCAACGCTAATGTGAGGTTGGTGCCACTACCCTTGATTGTTACTCTCCGAGGATCACTTTACACCGCCTCTTCTAGCTGTCCACTGTCTGAAGCTCATGCATTTTAACTTGGTGCCAAGTTCGCATTGATGCAGCTTCAGGACGTCTTGGTGAGTCAGCATTGCGAAGCTGGGCCGACGATGTCGCCACTCCAGACGTTAGTTTGCGGATGAGGTCATCTGGTAGAGACCAAACTCTCTAAGAAAGGCAAATGACTGGTTTTGCTGCTATTCTTTGCTTGGCAATCAAGCGTGGTAATCTATCACAATGTAAAAGATATTTAGCAGTAACTCTTTCGGAATTTCTTATGCATTCGCGTATATTTGTGCAAAAGACGTTTCACTCACCAGAGTAAGTCGACCTGGTGGTGTCTTGGGTACCTTCTTCCAGATGCATTAAAAGTCTTTCGAACGTTTTTTGGAGCTGGACCTAAAAGTGGGTCTAGTATATCAAAACATTGTCAAATCAGGTGATTTGCCAAATATTCGTTCAAATAATTTGTCTCTGTACCGAGTCAAGCATCAATTTAGCATCTGTAGGATTTATTGTGTACTGACTTTTTCACCTTGCAACCGAATTCCGCTGCTTCCTTTGGCCCATGTGAGTGTTCATCTGTTATTTCGTTCGTGTACAAGCCACTTTGGCATCCGTCCATCACGTCCCAAATGCAAGAACTTGCGTACTTTGTATTCTAACAAAATCAGACTACAAAGGACATATTTGCAAGCTTTATTCCAGGTTGAAATATTTGAGAAATCAGGGATCATGGTGGTGATGGGAATATGGGCCAATAAACCGCTTTCTTTTCTAAAAGCTGTTGTTTTTACAGCCTCGACCCATGCCAACACGGCGTCAGTCGGAATCGTCAGAGGACAGTTGGTCTGTCGTGGAGGAAAAAGAAGTATGCCTTCTCCTCCTCCTCCCCCCGCTTATTGCTCAGCGCTAAGCTAAACTTGCTCGTGATGATTTCGCAAGCCTGCTTTCGATTAGTGCTAGTCTACCTCAACTCACACACCCAAGCCCACACCTAAGCTATATTTAAAGTGTGCCATCAATTCCGTGTCTTGAGCGTGGCTTAAACCACCAGGCTTGTGCTTCTTAGTGCTTAGAGGCTTCCTAATTTGGCATTCACTTTTCTGTGCTCTGGCCATTCTCCAGCACTTCGATGGTGGAAGGCATCTTGATTACCCCTAAATTAGGTTCCTCATTTGCGCCAGCATGCTGCCCGCTTTCACCACGCAGCATGCCCGGCACCGTCTGTGTCGTCGCGATGTTCGTCTCGCCGCTTCTTGCCTACGAATGGTCCATGGTTTCCTCTTTTTGAAAGGGATGTGTGTTGGTTTGCGTTTTCAGAAGGAGAAAGAGCCAGAGGCCAAGCCAGAAGCCCCGGAACCCGAACCACCGCGCCAACCAGAACCGGAACCCGAGCAGCCGAAGCCCGCTGAGACCACCGACACCAGGACCGCCGCCGCCGCCACCGCCACCACAACTGCTGTTGCCGCGTTCGACTTCACCGCATGTAATTCTACCCACAACGTAGCCCACCGTTTCCCAGTCCTCTTACCAGTTCAGAACTCATCCAAAGTAGACATGCGAAATTCGATCCGTTAAAGTGGTCTTAGTGTCCACTTTGCCCATAATTTTATGCAACTAGCCAGACAACATTGTCGACTTTCCCGTTCGATGAGGCTTGCACGTGTGCAGTTTCCCCTTAGTCCACTATTTTTGCCTGCCACGCCCGTCATACTGCGTGTTTGTGAAGTTCTGCTCAGACGTGTGTACTACTTTTGTATTTGGCTTCAGGTCCTTTATTCGTGACTTTTCTCCTGTTAGTGTTCCTGTAATTAAATGTGGTTCAAATTATGCAGTGTAAAAATTTACGCAAACACATCAATTTCTACAGCTCTGGAAGCAGGAGATTAGGATTTGTTTGCGCCTGCCTCGAACACTTGCGTTGTCTTGAAATCGCATGACATCTATTTCAGCTCACGACGACGAGCTCAGCTTCAAAGAGGGTGAAAAGATTGTGGACATCGTCAAGGTGGATACCTTGTGGTGGTCCGGGCGCATAGGCGATCGCACCGGCATCTTCCCTGCCAACTACGTACGTGCCAATTTGAGGCGCACTTTTTGCTCTTTTTGAAATTCGCAATTTTCTAACCCAAGACTAATCATGGTGTTATAGACACCGTCGATCACAGTCCCTCTTCTTTTGTCAATTAGAACGTATGTGGGGCTTTAATTGGTTGGGCTTTAAATTTGTCCTGCTTGTCTGGCTGCCATGGCGGTTTTGTCAGGCCCCCGAAAGTGAGTGCGCCACAACGCGCCGATTTCAACAACAAGGTCGCTGCAGGCACAACAGGCGATCATCGTAGTGATGGCGACTCGACAAGCTGCCTCTACGTAAAGTGCATTGCCTCCTCCAGACGCAACTCCAGATGGATGAGTATCCTCAACTTTGCGAACACCGCCACAGGCAGGCACTGGACCAAAAGGTCTGAACCTCCCCGCGCACAATTTAACGACCTGAGGGGCGTCAAGATGTGTTTGCACTTCTCGCGCCAGGCGACTCACAGTAACCAGCGGAAGACCTTAATCGTCGGCCTGAGCACCAGCATCAGCGCCGCTTCTTCCCCTCCAGGCGCAGATCGCCAAGCCACAATCCTCGGCCCCTCTACGTTTGGGCTGCCGCACATCAAATCGGACCTATTCCCAACTAACTGAAAGGGATCTGTCCATAACTCGAGTCGAATTTCGATTTCACATGTCTGTTTTCGATGTTGTGCGCGCGTAATTACACCAATTCGCCTTCTACCCGAGTACGTGGGGCAGGCAGAATGCCATGGACACAGCCGACACCCGCGGAACACTGCGCTTTGTCGTCTTGGTGTGCTGGCGTGGTGTTTTGCGTCAGGGTCCTGTCATCACGTGTTATCACATTCAGTGTCCGTTTTTAACTTACAGGTGTTTAGATGGCATTTATTAAAAAAAAGAGCATTTTACTGTTGCCTCCGATATTGCACTAATCCGAACTCGGCGGTGTTCACGAGTCAGTGCTTTCTTTCGCATCACCACGCTTAAATACCATAAAATTGAACACTTTTAATACGAAACAGACTTGAAATTGGCAAGAGTTGAATGGGGGTGGGTAGAGTGCTACGTTTAACTGAGGTGATGTGGCGGCCGTTAAAAAATTACGAGGCAAAAAGAAAGAATCGAAAACAAGCAAGTCGCGTTGCAAGTCGAGGAGAACCAACCTTACTTGATCTCCACGTGTGTGCTTTATGTCCCAACGTGTTGGTTACCGTTAATCACGTCGTAAAAATCATTTTTTTCCTGCCCAAAACCAATTAAAATGTAGCACAAGAGAGTCCGTTAAAGGCTAATTCCTCAGTTAACCTCAAGTCAGCCTCGCATTCACGCGGGGTTTTGTTGTGCCGCCTGTGTCACCTGTGTTCTTCACTTTTTTTCAACTTCAGGTCGAGGAGGTCACGTCTCCGAGCGACATCACTGCGATGGCTCTGTACGATTTTGCGGCTTGTAAGTCCAACTCCTAAGCACAAGTGACGTGACTACGCAGCGCGTGTCGGTCATGCTTCTGTGTTCCTTGCTTCGCTTTAGCCCAAGACGACGAGCTGTCGTTCAAAGCTGGCGATGAGATCTGCGACATCAACAAATTCGACGAGGCATGGTGGTCCGGTCGCATTGGTAACCGGGTTGGCATCTTCCCCGCCAATTATGTTTCCGAAAACTAGTTTGCTGATCTTCTTCATTCCATTTGTGCTTTGTCTTTGACACTTTTTTTTGAATATGCTGCTTTTCTAACCTCAGAAACTTGAACGATCGCCTCTTTTTTACCAAATGATTCGTGCGTTTTAATTTAAATACTACTATTTATCTGGAAGCAAGAGTTTGTTTTCGAACAATCCAATGTGGGGTTACAGTCACTTTGTCCACCTCCACGGGTTAACACACATCTTTGTATCTAATTGAAATTGTCGGAGTTTGGGCATCTTGCCGTTCTTCTGGACGACCACACCTGCGTCATAACCAGTACTTTTCAGGTAAGATCACCTGTTACGGGTCAAATCATCCAAATGAATTTGTAATGTCTGTACACCCCAGAGGAGTTAACACATATTGGTTGTCATGGCGGTGGCGGATCGTAAGCGCTAGACGCATTGAGCTGCTGAAGGTATGGTGGTCTGTGCGAAGTGTAGACAGGATGGGGTGCCAGCTAAGGCGGGTATTTGTAAAGGTGCGTAGCGGGCCCCAGTGCGGTTTCGGTGACACGGCCCGACCGAAAGAAGAGTAGAAAATGCGGATGACGAATAGCTCAACCAATTTGTTAAAGCGAAAGCAGAGTGTGCCTTGTACAGCATAGCAGGTGCGTTTATGGAGCTCCGCTAAGCATCGATCTCTGAAGGCACGCAGTTGCGTGAAGTGCATTCACGAAAATCGATTGAATCGTGTTCGCTCGCGCTTGCTAACGGTGCTGGCTTGCTGCTCACCACAGGTGTCTTGATTTTGTGAAATCGACCGCTGACCGCGTGTGCCAGACTTTGTCTGCGTGCGGTTGCACTTTGCGTTTGATCTAGTTGGAATATGGAAGGTGCAGCTTGCTTTTAACATCCCTTTAAGGCACTATGGACGAGGAGTGCTCGAAGAAGAGGAGAGGAGTCGGTGAAGGTTTGTTGTCAATTCGACCACTGGATCGTGAAGAGCTTGAAACATTTGACTGCTCGGGGATTTGGGAATGAGGGGGTGTTGCACACCGGTAGCAACGTCAAAATTGCCTGTACTGGCCGATGCAAGCTAGGAAACTCTGACAAAAACTGTTCTCTGTTTGTCGAACTCCGTTGTGGTGTGAGTTGTGCCGAGTGATCACATCGGGACTCCTCTATTTCGGTGACGGACACACACCGGCGAAACCAGATCGCATAAGCTTGGTTTTGCGGTACACAGGGACCGGGGGAAAAATAACACGACCAGAGGCGACGAAGACACCTGTTTATTAGACGCGTCAATTCATCCGTGGTTTTGCATCAGTGTCCACACAAGGTAGCATCTGCTCAAACGGATGTGTGCTCTGGCGTGTTCGCAAGGCGTATGGGACGCACTGGGAAGGGTGGTGGGGTGGGCTAAACAGACAGGTGCCAGAGGAGGTGCTTTGCAGAGGTCTCCGAGCATCTGCTGACAGAGGTGGTGGTAGTGAGTCATTTTGAATCACCATAAATTTCTGTAGCTCGACATTAGCGATTTCAAGATTCTTGACACCAACTTAGGGCAATTGTCGGTAGTCTCGGCGTGGGGTTTCGAACCAGACTGGGGCCGCAGAGTTGTGTTGACATGATCACACTGACGCTCGTGAAGACTACGGGGATCATCAACCTAGTTGTGTTGCCGCGCCACTGCGCACAACACCGATAGGAACACCGTCAAGAGGGGGACACCGAGTCTGAGTAGTCGATCTCCGGGTTAATAGGCGTTTGCCAACACGACTCTTGTTTTTTTTAATCTAACGAATTTCACTCGAGACTTGTAGTAACTGGCCCTGCTTCTCACCACAGTAACTTGTCGAGCCCCCAACAATTGGCAAAGATCACAAATTGCCGACATACAAACAGGTCTCAAAAGTGTTTGGCCGGGGGCTCACGACAGAGGGTACTGCAATCCGTGTGGGCTCTATTAAACTTGGGTTGAAAATAGGCAAGAGGTTGATTTGGTCCTTGGGGGGTGTTGGCATTGATCCGTGCCAGGAACGAGAGCACAATCGATGAACGCAATCACACCGTGATTAATGAAGCATTTATGCACCAGACGGATGTATGGGCGTTTCAATGCACGTGCCTACAGACTGTGCCTTGGGAAACACCGATTTGCTGTGTCGGTTGGACAAGAAGTCGTGTTGATTCGCAATGGGTGAGCGGTCAGGCATGCCACATGTGTCTGAAGCGCAGTAACCGCCAGACAGACGCCATCCGCTTGCGATTCTCTTGGGAACCACATAACACGCTAATCACCTTCTAATCCGGCTGCAGAAAATTTCATTTGCTACACCTTGGGTTTGTTTTAAAAACTACCTTTCCGACCATATCACACCCAATCTTGATAGCCAGCTTTTTTGTCAAATTCAAAGATAAAATAATTAAAGTTTTTCAAGTTGAAGTTAGGATGGTTGCATGTACAGTCTCTGCGATCTTTGCTTGAACCAGAACGGTAATTTTCTACATAATCGGAATTAAATTAAGACACGACTGCATAATCTTCAAGTCAAAATCAGTAAATAAGGTGTGGAGTAGCATCAGGTTGGCATAAAATGCCATTCATATTAGGAGGTGAAGTGGGTGGATGCCGTGGCGGAAGAGACAGACGTTTGTAGACGTTCGTTGTCCTTTCGAAGAAGGTTGAGTTGCTGGAACATGAGGGTCATCTGGTCTCGCAGCTGATCCACTTGATGCGCCGATGCGAGAGCCTGGAGTTGGACGTCGGTGAGCTTCGCCTCGCGGTCTGCCAACTCCTTCCGCAGGCCCTCTACCTCCGCCTCTAGGGAACAGCACCGCGAATAGGAGTCACAGCAGGAGTTTGATTGCGTACTAAAGATTAAACAGCAGTAAAATTAGTCTAATTAAATGTATTGGTTACAATGATGACAGGAATCACCAAAGGTCACGTGATTATATTACTTTGCATTAGCGTTTTACGGTGTGTTATGTTAACCAAGGAAATTCGCTTTAACACAACGTTCATAAGTATTCCAGGTCACTTGATGACATTCGCCGGATGCGTCAACATGAAAACGAAGGGACAAATCGAACAGGACGAAGTGGTCGTTTGTCTATGCACTGTCCACAAAGTAAATAGCAATGAATTAAAAAAATCGACGAATTATTTTGATAAGCATTTGGTAGTGGAAGTTACACATCAGCGAATGGGGAAACAGCAATGGTGACACAGGGTCAAGTGATCGATGCAGATAAGTGACTCGCAAATGCTCCGAGCACAAATCACCGTGGTTTACAACTCAAAAATTGTCCTCGGTATATGTCAGTTGCGGTTGATTCGTGCGACCACTGAGCTACACCAGAGGTGGCTGTGTTTGTGTGGTTCTTGCCATCATGATTCCACCAATTCCACTTCTTAATTTACAAATGCCCTGTGTTAACGCTTCTGTGTTTTTTTCTCTAATTTGGCAACACGTTCAAAAGTGAGGTGGTGGAGGTGGTGGTGTTATTCGCGAAGAGACCCTCAGCGGAACTTGCCTGTTGACGGGGCGCGGTGCCTGGTGCTCCGGTGACCTGCCGACGTCGCCTGAAACGGAGGAGGCGCGAACAAAGTTCTTGCGTAGACCTACAAAGGCATGCACGCATTTGCATGTTATTGGGCCTTGGCAGCATGACTTGGGCCTTTGAAGGCTGAATATCAAGGTTGAGACTAAGTGTTGTTGGATTTAAAAGGCCTTTTGCAACAAAAAGACAACAGACAAGGAGGAAGAGTTGACTACATTAGACAGCAGCTGTTGCGCTGCGCCTGGATGACAGTGTGGCGCCAACAGACCATAATGTAAATTGCAATTTCCCTGTAGCGCCTTAAGTCGTAAGTTTGACCAAAAAATAGGCTTTCACAAAGCTTCGTACGCAAATTCCATCGTCTAAATAGGTTCAACAAAACCACATACACACGTACTCTAGAAGGGATAATCTACGCTTCCACATTGGGGTGCCTTCATCACGCATGATTACTAGAACTCTGCAAAAGCCTGATTGTGGTTGCTGTAAAAATGTAGAAATGTTGTTTGTTGCAATTTCTGAAGGAAACGCCAAATTAGACAGTCACAGGTCTAGCCGCCTGGATGCAATCAAAGGAACAGACTGAGTAGTGAAAGCATTCCCTTCAAGTGCATCCTCGGGGGCTAAATAACTCATTGACACAGGTGAAGTTTACTTTTAAATGCTATCCTGCATACGATTGGGCATGAATTTAAAAAAAAACTTTTTCGAATAAGAATGTCACTTTAATGGCAGAGCAATCATGCAGTTGATACTGGTGCAAACTAATGTTGCGCGTCGACGATTCCGTGTTCATAACACGAGAGCAAATAATGGAAAATCAGTGCCCTTCAAAGAAAAAGCAGCATCAGCAGCAGCAATTATTTTTAAATGTCTAGAATTTAATGCAACAAGCAAAAGCTTATTGCAGGTACGTATGCTATAATATATACCGATTATCAGCTAAGAACCCCAGTAAAATCAGATCTCATTGGCGTCTAAGCCGTATTAAAACAAACCACCGGCGGTAGAATCGAGCCTTAATCATTTTTTTTAATTTAAAGAGAATTTCTGGAGGTGGCATTGCATTTCTTCTTGGCACGGAATTTTAAGTGGTTGAATTTGGTTTATTTTAAGTGCTCAGTGCCACATTGATGCAGGCGAGTCTGAAATTATGTCAATAAGTGTTACAAACAACTGGCAAAAGACATTCAAAAATAACTTAGCACTTGCGAATTGAAAAAAAAAACCTGTATGGAACTGGTGCTTCCTGAGGTGAAAAATGAACTAAGGAACTCTGAGTTACCGTGAACAACACCATCTACAGATCCACAGGGTCTTGAAAGCTTCGTGACTTTCGAAAAGACGCCTTTCGGAAATGAAGGTTTGAGTGGGAAAAAGGCCAAGCCTACTTTGTAAGCTTAGAAAAAAACAATAGTTAATTAATTCAAATTCTGAAACAGGACCTACGCAAACTGAATTCGGAAGGCTGATAGTGTTTTTCTACTGATCTGAAAACATGATTTAAAATACTGAATTAGAAGCTGTTATGAAACTGTAGTGAGATCAGAAATATTTGTTTGTGGTTACTGCGATCTGTGGAAACATTTGAAACAGAAAACTAGGATTAGACACTTCAGTCCTGTGCTTGGTGTCATTTCAACAGTGCGGATCTGAATGACGTCATGAGATCCATGAGTTGTGTAGTTACCCAGGAATGTACCTATTGACTCAAAGGCAACTTAGAAGACTTCATGCAGCCAATCAGAATTGAGGTAACATACAGTTAATGTTAGAAAGTTTTTATAAAAATAATGAAACGTTAAAGCTTCTCTACTTTTAGTATCGTATTGTGCATCATTTGACCACTTACAGTAGTCATTACCCATTTTAAAAAAAGGACAGGCTGTCAGCAAAGATTACTCACGTGACTTTAGTCGTTAACCGTCTTCAATAAGATGTGGATTAATGCTAAAATTACCCTATTTGTGGCATTAGGTTCCCAACACAAAGTTATTTTCACTTTACGATTGAAATACAACGTTTTTTGTGGATAATGTGCACTTTAATGCTTTTTTACGACAGCTACTGAAATTTCAAATCGCAAGCAAACTAAACACTGCAATTTAAAGAAATTCAGATTTTAGGTTATCTTTAACCTCGTATTTATTTCTGGTCAATAAAAGAGAGGAAAGCCAGGGATTGAGTCGGTAGAAAACGTTTCATGGTGACAGCAGCAATCCCTGTCCCGGATCCAAGATGCACCGGCCGCCTGACCCTTTGATCCTGATTTTCATGGATTTCTAACACCAAGGTAACCAGTAGGCTGACGCCGCTGCCACGCAGAGAACGGTGCCAGGTCAAGCTGTAAACTGCTAATAACGTTTGTGTACTTTTACACGCTTCTGGTTACTTTGGCGACGTGCGATACCTTAACTTGCAGTTGCGCGATACCCTGAGGCATTTTTACTGAGGTATTCGCAAAACTACCCATTTCAAGGAATCAGACAGAAGCAAACACGTGCCTTTTTAAAATCGCCGCCATAGCCCTCTAGTTGCAGGAGGTCTTGGAAGCGGAAGCGAGCTTTGCATTTACACAGCATAAAAGCATAAAAATGTTTATCTAAAGAAAAAAGAACGGATATGCTAATAAGTATGATGGAGAAGTTATAACTATTAAATTAATCACAGAAAACTAAAGAAAAAATCCTGGTAAACTAAAAGTTACAGTGGACAGAGTAATTATTTTACTTGGATTTGGTCAGACACTCCTATCCTCAATCACTGATAAAGCCAGCAAACTTTTCCGATATATTCAATCGAGGTATTGTCAAGTGAAGAAATCAGATTGGACAAAGGAATAGCTAGTTAAGGTGAAATTTGTTCTGGGATTTTTTTTAATTAAGCAATTTTCCAAACAAAATAACCAGAATAAGGTGGACTGGTTTATTCTACTTAAGCAACTTCTTGCGGTTCGCCTTGATTCACACTGGTTAATCTGGTCACTTCAGCCTCCGGCACGGGGTCACCCTTTTCGCAGCATGTCGCCAGCTGCGCGAATCCTCAACTCCCCCCTCATTGGCACGAAAGTCAATCGTAGATTATCATTACACCTAGGTCTCGATGTTAGCTCATCTATGATACACATCTGAAGTATAAATGCACACGCGCAAATGCCACCCACGACACAACGACACTAACGTGGTTGAGCTCTGAAGTAAACGGTTGTGTTCACGTCCTCTCTGGTCTTCTTCTTCATCGCGGGCATCAGGGAAGCGTAATCTGGCCAGAGCCAACTCAGTGGCCCCAGCGTGGTTCAAGACCACATGATGGGGCTAGAAGCCTATCCCATGCTTTGTGTTTAATCAATAAATTTTTACATTGCTTTTTGCCATTTGAGTACTCATGCGAAAAATCACTTCACAGCGAGAAAGACATACTCGGCGCCTTCTGAACCCTGGCCATGTCACAAGTACAATCGCTTAATTAACACTCTAAATGGATGTTATTTAGGGGCTACAAGAAAATTTGGTTGAGACATCAACCTGAAACAGGAATTTGCATTTTTGCAATTTAGTCGATGGTGGACGTTTTTACTGCATTGAACACGAACCGCGATTAATTTGGACTGTAATTTATCCACTGGCTTCTTTAATTGTATGCAGTAAGGGGAAATTCGTTCTTCTTCTGATTTCCGAATAAAACCAACTGTTGTCTGATTGCCAGCGTTTGCCTTGGAGCAGGATGGATTTTTGTTGTAACGTGCATTGATGGGAACCATTAGTAGGCAATTTAAAAAAAAAAAACAAGATAAACGTATAAATTTAGTCTTATAGCAACCCAAAACATGAAGGGCATTCAGTGGACAGGTCGCTCTGAAACATCTAAGCTGGCGACTGAACGAAGGGAGGTAACTAAAGTCAACCAGCATCAGGTTGCCAGCGTTTTCGCCGCCCCAACTTCCAGCTCCGCCTATTAAGGATAATGAGAATTCAGCTGGGAAGTCGGTTCTTCAAATAGAACCCTGGTTTCTGACTCACCTGTGCGGTGGCAGTTGCCGTATAATTACCACGGTAATTTTGGCCAGGTGTTAAATCGAAATGTAATAGACAACAGTTGGCGTTTCCTTGCGGAGGGATTTTAGCAAAACCGTTGCAAATAACAAGATGAATGAGGTGGAAATTACACGGCTGAAATTACCAAGTTATTTTCAAGAAAGCGCTGCCGTTGGACTAATAGTGATCAGACATGGATAAGTTGGCGATGGGAAAATAGTAAATGCGTGGAATGGCTAAAACACAGGGAGGCCAAAATATGCGCCTACAATGCTGTTAGGCCACAGGTACGGTTCAAAGGTGGGACACGTCGGACATGTGATGCCTTGCGATGAAGGCATTGTTAAGTGCAATGGGTGGGGGCTGTGACTCTGGACGGCCAACGGAGTCTCAGCCAATAAAAAGTGACTGGGGGCCCAAGGACGTCTGAAATGGAACAGACGAGCATCGGCACTGTTAATGCATAACAAGGCAAAGTACAGTCGTAGACACTGAAGGAAGGCGCAGGAGAGTTGATTATTTAAATGCAAACACTTGGCCAACATCAGACCTAATTTGGGAAGGACTAAATTCTATTTTGGCTCAAAGACATCGAGTTGTCCACGAAGATGCACTGAATGAGAATGAAACGATGTTTAAGTACAGTAAACTGAGTTTTAAACACTCCTTGAGTCCGATCAGTTTTCACTGATGTGTTTGGCTCGTTAGTCTGAGGGACCGAATCAGCACGTTGCTGTGCCTTCCATGCTGCGCCAAACACGACATGCGAACGAAAAAAAGCCACTTGTTCGTTTGTATGAGGAGGCCCACTAAAACTCGGACTGGGATTATTTCCGAAATCGCGTTTTTGTATGACATTATGAAGGCCTTGTCCAATGCTGGGTTTAAGCTGGTTGCAAAGGGGACGTTCATTTAGAAAAGGACATTGAAGTTGCTTAATGAAGTCACCAAAAGTTCTCTTCAGAAAACTGCCTTCTTCGAGAGACTGCACTCAGACTTACGATGAGACGGTCGATGCTCTGGCGTGTTCCAAGCAGATATCGGGGGTGGAGGCAGCTTGCTTTGGCTTCCATAATGGCTGTCGCCTTGGTTAGTGTCGCCTGTCAGCGATGACTGGGATCCACGCCTTCGAAAAGCTCTATCGAATGAACTTCGCAGCTAAAAAGAAGTTGTAACATCAGTGCACGGTGGCTCTGGTAAGATAAGGGACACGGTGTCACCAGTGGTCCATGAAACAAGCATCTGACTTCTACTCCTTCAACCAGCGACAACTTGTCCGATTATTACTCAGAAGCATTCAGTCATCGGTTACTTCAACAGGTGATCAAGATGGCTTACTTCTCTTTAAAGATCAAGAAAGCACATGAGAGACGAATAGAAGTGTTGAATTAGCTCAAATTGAAGGGTCATTATTGAATGGTAATGGACTAGAAAGATGGGCTCAAACGTTCTTCACCAATTAGATAGAGGTCGCGCTTTGCCAAGGTGGTATTAGCAGCATTGGCTTGCATTAAATTCACGTAAGCAATGCAGGGGTCATCAAAAATACTTCTTGCAGTAGAAAAGCATGCTATTCTATATTTAAGGCTCATTCCATTTTTAAGTCTGCACATTTAAGTTACTAATCTTTCAACATTTCTTAACGAGTTAGAAGGCAATGGAGGAGAAAAACTATTTACCTTACAGCATTAAGGAAAACACGCAGATATTATGACCTTGTAAAATGTAGTGCAAGATCCAAAAAGCATATCGCAGTGCGTGCGGCAGTCACTTCTAATGCAAAATGCCAGTTAACAGTTACATGCACCAAAAAAAGATGTAATTTGGAATACTGGACAAAGCGAAATTGCAGAAAGGGCCGTGCACGAAGTCAACATACCCAGCCGCCTTTTCGGGTCGCAGACCTTGGGACTGCGGGAATCGCGCTGCCGTCGTTGTGCTTCGAGGCGGGGTTGCGCAGTCCCGACTCGGCCCCTTCGTCGCGCAAAGAAGGGGAAGTCACGGAGGCGGTGATGCCCTCTTGACACATGGATTCGATTATTTGCCGAAGCTCTCGCAATTCCGAATCCTAATTCAAGTAAACAGAAATTCAAACCAGGCCCTCCTGCATCCATGCGCGGTAAGCATGCCATTTGGAGCAATTCAGTTGAAGTGGTAATTAATAAAGTCTGCAGTACAGTCACGGCAAATTTTACGGTGATCCTTTCATTTTCAGCGCAATCACGCAAGCAACAATGTACAAACAACGTCTTCGGATCCCAAAATGAGACCAAACAATAATAGACTACTTACAGCAAAGAATTTAGTTCACATTGAGCTAATGTGGCCTCTTTTATTTTTGTCAGCTTAATCGAACTTCTGATTTGAGGGTGGAGATTTAATGTTCTATTTTAATCGATCAAATTGATAGGAACTGTCTGAAGTGACCAAGAATTAGTTACTAGTTATCTTCACTCACATCTAGTAATAGATTATTATATAACTAGTCATAAATTGTGACTCTAAAGTATGTTAAACCAACATTTTAATTGATCAATATATGTATTACTACATTTATAATCAAACCATGACAAAAAAGAAATGCTACGAAATCTTTTCTACAGGGGTTTGTTGAAATGCAGGCTAAATACATGACAACAAATAATCAAGCGGTAGATGTTATTGTAGTTGGAAAAAATTCATTACGTGGTGAAGATTTATGAAATTATTAGCAAGCCAGAAATGCAGAATTATGCCCTATTGGAGTCAAATGATTCTCCCTAGATATCGATTTTTCCTCCAATGAAGTAGTGTTCAGGTAAACCCAATTCAATCACCTATAGACGGTGTGTGGAATTAAAAATGTCCACTGCTTTCTGTGCAAATGTAAACGTTTGGTAATCTAACCAATGACTGAAGCTATCATCCAAAAGTAATGACGCTCCAAATGCTCAGCAATTAGCAAACAAAACGCAGAATGGGTGCCATCAAGTGCTGCGTCTAGACTGTGTGAACGTTACACTTATTTGGACATGCCTTTTGTAAATACTAAAATGGTCAGGAGTTCTGTAGATTTCGAAAGCCTCGTTAGTCAGCCTGGTCGAATTTTCGCGTAGCATTTTAAGGTCTCTGGAAACATCGCTTCAGTAAATGAATATTTTTTTTGTAGTTCGCTTGAACTCTCATCAGGTGAAAATTTACCCATCCCCACAATGTTACACACTTTGAGTTAAACATTACTTTTGCAAATGGGAAACACTGTAACCATATTTATCCGGGTGTATCCCTTAGTTTGTGAAATATTGATTGGCAAAAAACATGAATTACCTGCGTAAGTAAAGCTGTTCGTTTTGGTCTAATTTTAACGGGAATTTTATGAATACGAAACCCGTCATTTGTCCTGGAGACTAAACTGTCTTAAACGCATGCAGCTGACTTCATTTTGATGCGTGGACGAGTCACTAGCTACAGAGGCGGCAGTTGGGCTTGCGATAACGAAGCTATCACTTTAACCTCAAAATCTACCACCAGATCTTACGGCACTATGGAGGCAATTTTAGGTTCTTAAAATAGCTTAAACATGCATATTTGTAATGTATGACTAGTAGATTTACACTTGAGGATGGTACTGCTAAAATTAAACAGAATATAATAAAGTTGCAGGCAATTTGTAACAATATTTGTGGTAATGAGAATCTAACTGAGCTCATGACGGTGAAACCCTATTAAAACCGGCAAAATTACGACGGGTGTCTGAGCATTCGAGCAGCAGACTTTCCCAATCAGCTACATTTTGTTGGGTGAAAATAAATTTGAGTGGTAATCCAGAAGTCGCACCAGGAAGGACTCAGGAGCATTTACGTCTGCCCTGATAAGACACGTTCCCGAGAGATGAAAATATATATTAACGCGAACGCATAATACATCACAGTCACATTGGCAAACATGACTAAGCCCCTAACCCACGCCGGCTAACATTTAGCCGTAGGTAAAGAAGTTAGCCTGATTACATTTCCCGGCCAGCACCAGTGTGTGCCAAAATCTGGAAACGAGCTTGCTGGCATTTCCGTGTGCGGCCTCATCGAAGAATCTTGGAAGGCTCTGCGCAACCGCTTATGCAGACACGCCTCCAGAGATGCGAGATCAGTTATTTGAGTATTATTTAACCGCTTTTGTATTTAGGATGGGAACCAAACCGATGAGCGCATATTACGGTTGCCGTTAGAGAATAAAAGTCACAAATTTAAGTCAATCAATTGGAGAAAAGTGCTAATTGAGTGCAAAGGTATATTGGGTTTTGTAGCACCCTGGATGGGGAGAGTTTGCACATCGCCTGGGCGAGCAGCACTCTTATATGAGATGTTTGGAATGGAAGTTGACGAATTTCCTGTTTTAGCGAAGGGCGAATCACTTTCAAGTTCACTGACTTGATTTCTGTTTAACGTTTCACGTTCCGTCAGCTGGTAATCCCTTTTAACTCCCTCGATATGAGTTACGCATTGCATTTGTCAAAGTACAGACACACATCGCTGCTCAAAAGGAAGGTTCTAGTTGTCTGACTAACTGCTGTGCCGGCCTCACTGTACCCTTCTTTCACTAAATTCTTTGTTCTCGGGTTCAACTGGTGTCAACAAACAGCAGGATCCCTATGAACGGCGATGAGAGATACTTTAGGCAACCCTAGTGAAGTATACAGTGACAACACGGGTAACAACACACCTATTTATTGTGGCATAATACCAAGTAGTGCATTATCAACAAAGCAGGTGTCTTTTAAGTGGTAAGTCGTAAAATTATATTAAAACGAGTTGATGGCAAATTAATGCGCTGCACTTCATGTCATTAACAATTGCGACCTCTGGTTTGAATTGCACACACAACATCCCGAACTTTGTACTCGCCATTTAGGCTCATTTTTGCAGTAATGGTGATTAAGCCGACCATCTCACTCCTTATTGGCCCTATTTGAACTAGCGATTGAACTCAAGTTTTCAAAGACCTTTGTAAATTTGCTATGCTACAAACCAAAAATGTTATTGACGAGTTGCTTGACTTCGATTGCATCGTCCCAATTTGTTTTGCACCCAATAGGAAAAGGTTGGTGTGTAATAAAACCGGAATGTGCATTTGCATGTCCAGATTTTGTACAATAATTCGCATTTCCATGCATATATTCATTGATTTGGTCAACATCCCCGGTAGTAGACACCCCTAGGATAATTATCATGAATTTTTTTGTAATTAGACTGAATATTGCTTTTTAGTGACTACTGTAGCCTTTTACTAGTATATTTCCTCTTACGTCGTCAGTTGCATTTATGACTTTCGTAGTGGCGAATAAAGGGATTCATTAAGATGATAAAATAAGTGCGAACTGTTGCATTAATAATCACCATTTTAGTACAAGTGGTGTACAGAGGAAGACGACTGAATGAAAGGACACTCAAACCGGGATCTGGACATCTAATAATTCGACTGAGCCCATCAAAAAGGATACGAGAGGCATTTCAAATCAAGCAAAGGCACCTGTGACATTGACTTGAAGGTCACCAATGGCTATTTTTTAGGGAATTTTCAAAACGGATTTTGAAATTTCGCAAGAAATTCCTTTTTTTAGGACAGCCGAGCCATTGCCAAAACATTTTCATGATCACTGTACCCACGTTGACATTGTTTCTTAATTAGCACTCTTCAGTAAAATACAGTGTCGTTGATGCAAAATAACCGTCTTTAATAATAAACAGTGAGTTTTGACTGGTTTGGGAATGAAATAACCTCGATGTCTTCTAGAATCCTGTCAACCCCAATTACTTTAGAAGTCCCATCAAATTTTTGAAGCAAAGTTTGACTTAGAATTAGGTAGACAACGAGGGAGAATAAGGGATTCTGATACAAAAGATATCGTAAGGGTCTAGTGTGAATCTAAGGGATATTCTTGCTTTTCAAAAACATCACAGATTACCAACCACACACGTACCTCGTGCATACGTTTACCGTAAACATCTCCCCTTTACACCTGCAATGTCACACCTAATCAGGCTCGCGAAGATATCTATTAAAGCGATTTGATTTATCATAATGGAAGTAACACCAGCCTTTTATCCATGGGAAAATTCTCAGTCTTTAAGTACATAAAGCATCTTTACGTATTTCGCAGGTGCATGAAATGACCTACAAATGCATTTGCTTCCATTCGGTGATGTGCCAGTTTAAGTCAACATATCGATGTAACAGCGCCTCCTAGCGATTAACACCTGACTGGGGTTTTCGACTTGATATGTGTGTGTGAAGGTGTAAATGATGTATAAATTAAAGAAAAATGGTAAAAAAGAGAAGAACATCAAGCTACTGGATGTGTAAGTGTCATGCAATAAAACAGATGCAAGTTTATGGACTGAAAATACTTATTTTTTTGTGAATTTAGAGGAAAAATTGCTTGCATGCGTAGGGATTGGTTTGACTCACTTTTTCCGCAGCCGAAACGGTGAGGCTTTGAAGGCGTTGCGCCATGTCGGCAAGGCTCTGCTCGAAGTTGGACACGACACAGGCCTAGAGTGGAGAAAAAGTTAGTGCGAGTAATTAGATGGATTGGTTGCTGCTAAATATGTAGCGTTAGTGTCGTTTAATATTGGTTCAAATTTTCTAATAAAATGCCCTAATTAATTCCATGGCAATTGCGCGAAAGAAATGAGTTGATTCATATTAAACAAACCTAGTGAAATTGGCTTTATTATTAAAAAAGGAGGAAGGTAAACGGCAGGATACATTGTACGCAGGTGAGAAAGTGAGTTATGATTTGGCTAACTGTGATGGGTTTTGCTGGGCGTACCTTGTAACCCATTTTAACAACATCAGACCCTGTTAGAGGGGAAAAATTCGAGGTGTATTCTTGGTGTGGTGATTTGCATTAACCGATGCAGTGCTGCCATTACTTATCCACGCAAAACATCAGGACAAGGTAGGTGGTGCATAAAACGTGACAAAAGAGAGCAAAAAAGCTGCTAAACTTGCACTTATGTACTCGTTTTGTGAGTCTTGCTAGTGAGTTAACAAAAAACACACAAAAAACATTCTTAGTGTTGAAACAGATTCGCAACATTTCAATTTCGGAAAAGAAGTGACGCATATCATCCAAAAGAGAAAGAAGTTCACTAGTGCAAAAGAGAAATCCCTACAAGGTAGTTTTCCTGAAACAAATCATTTGACAATTTAAAAAAAACAAGGTCAACTAGGGAAGCAGAGAGAAGCTTTTTGAATGCTAGTTAATTATGTCACAACTGTGTAGAATAGGAACATTGTGAGTGGACTTGGAAACTCGCAGCATGATTCAATATGTACTTCAGAATTTCGCGTTTCAGGTACACATGACTTCAGTATCTTGCGATTCAAGCAAACGAAAACGATAAAAAACGTTCTCTAATCACTAAAAGCGACAATTTTGTACTAATTTAACACGGAAATGAAGTCAAGTCGAAGCAATCTCAAAGACGCACACAGATAATGTGACATCCAATTGCTTCACGTTTAGATTAAATGTCTTGAAAAACGAATTCACTGCCAAGTAGGGAAGAGGGCCAGCAACAAAACCCCAAAGTGAAGTGTCGCACTCGTGCACAATCGTTTGGAGAAAGATCGGCATATAGGAATTGACGCCGTTGTCAGGTAGGGTGGCAGATGGTGTGTTTCAGATCAGGTTATTCCTAACACAACTGGCACACAGATTAGGCCAGTTTGATAAATGCCTAAATTGCGGGGTAGGTACCCATTCTGTCAGATAGTAAACATATCTGGTTACCTTGTCGAAGACTGGAACAAATCAAGCAGACGCCTGTTCAAATAACAAACAACAACGCCAAATATAAGACAAGTTTTGTTTACCTAAAGTGTACCACTCAAAACAAGTTTGGCAAAAAAAATTAAATTAAATTTAGCAGGTTTATGTACCAGTAAAGGCATAATGTTGGATCCAGATAAAGCAAGTTAACATGTAGATTTTACTTAAACAATTACTGGATTCCCTGTTACCCTCGGAAAAAAGGCTTCAGAGCAAATGCCAGGAGTCGTCGAGTCGGTTTATGGCATGTTGGCTAAGCCTTCTCGAGAGTTCTGATGTCAGCCTAGGTAGCTTCTAAATTAATCTAACTTAGCCACCTGCTTACTTTATCTCGTTCATAATAAGTTTGTGCGAGTAAGAATTTCAGAACTGATTAAAACTTATGGATTTATGCACAAAGACTTAAAATGATAAATGATAAATGCTCTTTAAGGTCTAATTCATGTTTGTGAGTTGCAAGGAAAGGTTCCACTTTTATTTTTTAATGGAATTCGCATTTTAGATGTGGCATGCAGAAAAATGGTGTGTCATTTATGTTGAAATTGGCGTTAATCTCGTGGTAATAAAAAAAGCACAGGTAATGTCAATTCAAAAGTTTGGAGATTTTGAGGGGGTTTACGTCACAAGCACAGTCAGTGAAGCAGACTTCCTTTACTCTATACTGGGGTAGTTAACAACAGTTGAGATGGTTGGACAACTTGGCACAAATTGGCTACAAAATGGTGCCGAAATAAGGAAACTTGTGACTGCCGAACCGATTGAACACGTGTTATCTTGCATTAGCAGTAATACAAGGACATCTCAAGTGCATGAACAGCGCATCAACTGTGCGAAACGAAGGCTCCAATCCAAAACATTTCACAGGTCCTGCTTAAGTGCGCAATGAATGCAAAACGAGGAGGCAACGAAAGCCTATGTTAGGGCAATATTTCCTGAGAAATATCAACTGCTTTAATACCATCAATTTGTATTGTAGATAAAGTATCGTAAAACAAAACACTGATGTGTAGACAGAGTGTTTACCATTTCCAGAGACAAAATTAAGTCCGAATTAAGTTTTGTCTTTAAAAAAACCACAAATGCCCCCTGGTGCGGGACTGTACTTCGCAATCTGAAATTCTTACGCACACTATTCAGAAACCAGATCTGCATTCGGAAAACGTTCCATAACACAACAGAAGAGATCTAAGGCAGTCAATATCCAACAGGGATTAGTAAGACTAAAATGGTTACACCACTTCACAGATTTACAGCGGTTGCTCATTTGACACGTTGTTCATTATTTTTGATATCGAATTTGGGCATGTAGGAATTGAGAAAATTAAGTACGAGCTTATTTAAACAGTTAAACGTAAAGATGATTAGTATATGAATCGTCGGTAGCTCTCTATTAATCAAACAATAATCAACAGAACACTGATAAGGTTAAATTCAAAATAAAAACCACAAATAGAGCAGAATTTAAAGGCAGTCCAAAACAGGACGCTAGAAAATATTGATTTCTGATGAGAACAATTAACCAAAGAAAAATATCGTTATCATATTGCCCAGACAAGCAGGACTACAATTATGACGTGATCAATTTTCACCTTAACGCATTAACAGCCACCTCAACAAAAGACTCAATGCTAATATCTTCGCAGAGGCCATGATACCAACTTATTTTAGTTCTCAAAAATACCGAATAGATGCGTGTTTAAATATACTTGAAACAAGAGGAACAAGGAGAACACAGCAGATAAATATTTTCCGCACAGTCACACACATGTTTCATTCTAAAATCACTGCTTCATGTTGGTACGAAAAAAGATCAAATAATGTTCAATTGACGATTATCCGCATGAAGCACGAATAAGCAAGATCATGATCGGTTTGTGCTGTGATGCTGCACACATGCATGGATGGCAAGCTGCAATTATCTAGCCAAAATCTTGCCATTAATCTCGTGCGTGCAAT